CATATATAAAAAAAATTTAAGTATACACTGTTTCCTGAGCAATAGTGCCTCATCCCTTGAGAGAGTCCTACTCCTGTAACTTCAATTGATCATTCCACTCTACTAGGGAAGCAGCTTCTTGGTGGTATGTTATGACCAGTAGATCTCTTGCTCAGGGGCTCACTAGCTTGTCTTTTGCTGTAAATTATGTTGCTTGGAGGAATGCCATGTTATATGAAATCCTGTGCCAGTGGATTCAATACTCTATAAGTCCCCAGTAGCGATGCTGGCTGAGATCCTGCTGGCAGCAAAGGCCAATCCACCTCTAGAATACAGATCTACCCCTGCTAAAATCAAGTGTTCCCTCTTCCAAAGTGGAAGGGATCCAATGTAGTCAACTTACCACCAAAGTCACCAGTTGGTCTCCTTGAGGGATAATGTGGAATCTTAAGCCCAATTTTGTTCTTTGTTGGTCATTTGATGGTGATTGTAGATAAAATAACCTTGGAAACTCATGCTATGTGCCCATGGATAGTCTTCATCTCTGCCAGCATGACCCTTACATTCATTGATCTATTGTTCCAACACAAGGGTAGCCCAAGACAGATTCTGAACAAGTCTTTCTACATACCTGGTTCTATAGTACTGATCCCACAGTAGAATATTCACCTTGATATGAAGATTTCACACTTAGATCCACTTTCCTAAGCCCATAGTCAGCTCCCACAGGCCATGAATCCACATGTATTTTTTTTTGTTTTGTACTGGGAATTGAACTCAAGGTTGATTACACACTGAGTCATGTTCTCAGTCCTTTTTTTTTTTTTGTATTTTATTTAGAGACAGGGTCTCCTTGAGTTGCTTAGGGCCTTGCTAAATTGCTGAGGCTGGTTTTGAACTCACAATCCTCCTGCCTCAGCTTCCTGAGCAGCTGGGATTACGAGTATGTGCCACCGCTGCCCAGCTTCACATGTATTCTAACCTTGGGCCATTTTTTTTTTATATACACAAAACAAAACAGATGACAAGGTAGATTCCCTTAGTTTTCCCCACCGAAGATTTTCCCTCGTCTCTGACTTGACGTATAACCTTGACAGTTGTGTCAAACATACTATGCCAACCCACTCATGAACCAAAATCCCAGCATTTTCTTCTTTCATTAACAGGTCATAGGCACATGTATGTGCAGCCCCATACATAAGCTGAGAAAAAGAGTCCAATGCAGCAGTGACAGGGGTCATGGGATCTAGGCTACCTCATTGTGCAGCTTGCTTGTGCCCTCTGCTCCTGCTTGTGACCGATTCTACATGGATTCCCTCCATCACTGAAAGTCAATTACCTCCTTACCATATGACTCAGTGAATCTAATCAGATATATGTAGCTCATGGTGGTCAATTTTAGATGGATGATTATGTAACGTCTGGTAGTTACCAATATTCCTTCTCTACTGAGGAACACTGACCTGTTTTCCAAAAGATATATAATCCTGTGCTGCAAATGCCGTAACCTTGTCCCAGAATCCAAGATGTCTATGTTGTGATTCTCTCACTGAACTTTCTGAAACTACAGTGCATCCTTTCCCACCACTGGCATTTCTAGTATAATTAGGTCTGCCTAACTGTATGGTCCAAGCAACAGGTATTTACTTACTCTGGAGCCTGGACCAGAATGAAGCCCTTTCCTATTCTCAGTTCCACTCAAAACTCATGAGATTTTATGTCGCCTAACATATGGGCTGTATAATATTCCAAAGCACGGAATATCTCCCTGCAGAAGCTGAACAGGTATTGTTTTCTTCTTCATGGTGATACAAGGGTACTAATGGTGAAATCTTTTATTTTGAAAGGGATATCCCAGCATGCTTCAATCATGGACCCCTAAAAATGCTACTGACAAAAAGGCCCCCAAATTCTTCACAGGGCTCATCTTTCACCTTCTGGAATGCATGTCTTAGCAAGGCCTCCAACCTGCCCATCCAGTTGGATTAGCAGGATATCATTAATATTGGAAGATCTGTGACCTATGGGATGTCCAAGTGACCTGGTTCTTTTTTGGACAATATTTTGAAAGAGGACAGAAGTTATAAATATATATCAATGTTTAATCCAGGTTAATATGGATTGTTTCTCATTATCATTTGGGGTAGAGGTGGAAAAGAACATATTTTCTAGTGCACACCTATGCATAATGTACCCGAGGACACGTCAGTCCATTGTAGCAAAAGGCAGCTGCAACTAGATCTACTACACGGCAGAGTTTGTGGTCATTCGTTTTCATTGAACAGGAGCTATTTTTATAAAGGCTATATGGATGAAGTAAGTGGACATGATGATGAAGACCACTGCCCTTATGTACTCTAGTTCTTGAAGCCCAGTTCTTGATTTCACCGGGATTTGATACTGTGATTTACCCACTTGGCCTGGAGTGGGGCTGGTGGAACACTCAGAGGCTTTTGCTTCTTCTTCTCCCTTGGTCTTTTAACCCTTAGACCGAAGACCTCAGGGAGGATTGTGTCAACTACTAAATACATCTATTCCAATCATACCTGTAGACCCCAGGGGAATGGCCATTGTTTGGGCCTGAAGACCCACTATGAGACAGACCCAGGTCAAATCTCTAGTAACTAGCCCCCACTCTATCAGCTAGACCATTGGTGACCTTTGTGGCTTACAGATAACAATGATCAGTGTCTACTCAGTTCTCATTCCCTAGAATCTTTAAAATGTTGGAGTATGCTCCTTTCTCAGTGGTAAAATGGATACAATCCTTGAAGGGAAAGACTGGTAGACCCAATGCAGCGTACACTCACTCTGGAGTTAAGAGTTTCTTCTCCTAGAAACACCTCTCCTCCAATTCAGTGGATTCCACACCTGAAATCTGACTCATATGAAAATTGATCAAGGAATCATGATATTTTTCTTAGAATAACTTCTATGAGCCTTCTAATCATTCATCCTTAATATATTTTTTACTGTACAGCTTGAGTATGGCTCTTGTTGGCTGCCCACATGATTTGCCCTGAAGGGCGCTATGTTCTATTGGTATCTCCATAACCCTCTGCAGGTCTTATGACCTTGGATTCCATTATAACTTCATTGTTATTTATGATAATTGTACCCACCTGGCTTCATTTCAGTACTGTTACCTAGTCACTGGTGTTATAGGCTGTTAGCACCACCATTGCTGTTAGTGAGTCCATGTCCATTGACAGCATTTCCTACTGTCAGTCCTGGTCTTATAGAGATCCATCACTGACCTTAGTGCTTCTCTCAACAGTGCATTCCTTGTTATCTCTAGAACCTTCTATGGAACATAGTCATCTGGTACATTTTTCCAGCAATACCTATTATATCCACTTGGCCATACTCACTTCTCTGGGCCTGTTAATTCATTCTTCTACCATCTGCCATGCAATCCTGACATTTCTATATAACTTAATGTCCCTTCTCCTCCCAGAGCAATTCCCTTTCTCAACTTGCTTAACCATTTTTTATTTATTCATTAAATACTTAGTGAGTTATTAATATGTCCCAGGCACTGTGCTAAATATTGGAGGTATGAAAATTAAAAAGAAAGAAAAAAAAAAGAGTAGGATCCACTCCCTTATATCAAAGGGCTCACAATCAAATTGTGTATATGTGTGTGTGTGTGTGTGTGTGTGTGTGTGCTTATTCTAGATGAAATAGTTGAAAATGAAAGCATAGAACATAGGTCATATTTTATACTCTTTTGTGTCACATTGCAGATGGAGTACAGGAAGAAGAAATGAGTAGGTGTGAAATCCAATGAAGGAATGCAAATTTTAACTAACCTACCAAGTCAGTGGCACTGTGTCCAGAAGGCACCTCTGCCCTGTGGGCACAACACTCTGCAGCCTCTGTGTTTTCTGGCTGATCATTGGCTTTCTTCTTTGGAAGCCTTTGGTTTCACCTGTCCCCCTGTGGATAATCAGGGATGGTAGGTACTCTCTACCTCTGTCGTGGCATGGAAAGGGTCAGAGGTAAGAGAGTTTCAGACAAAAGTCTCAAGATGCTTTGCAAATGCACTTCCCTTTTTCTGGGTTATTCAAGGGTAATAATCATCTTTCCCTTTTTAAGTTCCCAACACTCCCTGCTCACAACATCACCATCAAGCTTTGAGAGACAGAGCAGCTAAAAACCACTCACAGCAAATGACCACTGATGAGTCAGAAACCCTTAAAAGCTGTAATCAGGGGCCAGTGTGATGCAGGTGCATAATGCCCAGTGGTTAGGCAAGCAGGAGTCACCTCCAGGAAGGATAACGATTATTCCCATCACACAAATGCAGAGCGCCACCCCCACTGAGCATCCACCAAGCACCTGGCTTCTTCTCCGTTAATTTACCTGTGACATGTTGCCACACTTAATTGCCTTTGACAATTAGTAACATTTCAACACTTCTTTTAATGGAACAATTAAGAGAGTGCTTGTCTCCGTTGCAAGAAAATATATGAGCTGATTTTTTTTTCCAGAGGAAAAGAAAAAAAGACCAAACATAAACCCCCAGTGATAATTCAGTTATAGACAGCTTGGAGGTAAGCCCTTTCTCTTTTGCATTTTGCAAGAATTATGTGCAAGCACGCCTTTTCGTGTTTGTTTGTTTGTTGCTTGGTTTCCCTGAATGAGCATTTCTCCACCAGACAGCTCCGGGCTGTCCGCGCAGCCACGTGGTATTAATTACAAGGAAGAATGGATGCTAAGCAGTTGCTGTTACTCATTTCTCACTTGTGTTGTTGCATTGATTGCTAGGGAAAGCAGATGCCCCAAAGGCAGTTCTTCTTGAAATCAATGTGAGCCCTGGGGAAAGCTGGGAAGGAGTCTTTATGCCTTTGTCCTGGCCTCCTATCCCCTCCAAGTAACATTCATGGGAGGAGGGACATGTAGACTCTTTATTCCCCTTGGGGCCTTTGAAAAAAATTTAAAATGGCTATTTTTATTATCCTCCCCTCCCTTATTAGTAACAGAGAGAAATTATGCTGTTCTGTTATTACAAAACTTACCTTACAGCAATAGTTTACAAGTCTTTGGACTCCCGAATAATTCAATATTGTCGTTGTAGATAAGACTGCAAAAAGGTATGTGCTTCAAGTCTCATCTATTAAGAGCTGTGAGGAGCACAGAATTAAAGATGTCATTTGCAAGAGGTTTGATGCATTTCATTTTCCAAAGCAATCATTTAGTAGAGTGTAGGGGATGGGTCACTAAGTTGGTTTTCATGTTAGAAAAAGTCCCAAGAATATGATCAATGCTCTAGTAGAGACTTTATGCTCACTAAATTCAGGGCAGATGACACAACTCTCATGCTCTATGTCAAATCACCTTCATAGACCCCCTGATATCCTGATGGTAAGCAACTGGAGACCCCCACCCCCAGTCCTGAAAGTGACCTCTCCCTTTTTGCTGACACCTGGATTTCCTGCCATTCCTCCTCGCTGCCATGTCTCTGCTTGTCCCATCCCACCCATTCCTCCACCTCTAGCTCATGTACTTGTTCTCCACAAAGCTCCAGATTCCCTCTACAACTCTCTTGGACCCCTCACTATACTTAGAAGCTTCTCACATTAATCATCATATACTACTTTGTCTTGCACTGGGGCAATTTACTTATGCCTGAGTAGACCGTAAACTCCTTCAAGGCCAGGAATCCTGGGTTATTTTTCTTTTAATAATCCACACACCCCAGCTCAGTATTGTTATTTGCATTAACAATAATAATTATATCCATTAGGTACCCTTTGGTAAGTATTTGTCAAATTATATTTGTATTTAATTTCCGCATACCGAATCTGCCTTTAAAAATTATATTGGTTTGATTGACAATTACCTTTTTTGTTACACCATCCACCTCTCTATCTCCCCAAAATGGCGCCCCTGTGGCTGAGCCACTAGGAAGGGCAGGGAAAGCCTTTCTGCTTTTCTATCTTCAATCTTAACATCCCTGGGTCAGCTGAGGTTGGTGCATCATCCACTCCAGGGTGGCTGGGCATTTGTAACCCGAGCACTGTCACAGTGTCCCCCAAGGGAGAGATACAATCAGAAAAGCAATAATGGCTTTCCGTGAGCTGGGATGAATGACCTCATCTCCCAGGTCACTAGGGCAACCATCTTCTGAAATCCACCACAGATTTATCACAATCCTCTCTCCTCTGTTCCACACTGACACTTTTCTTCCTTCTGTCTCCTGACATGTGGCAGCCTATATCCAAGGGGCCCTGATGGGACTGTCTGAGGATCTCAACAGAACTCTGTTGATTCAGGAGGGAAGGGGGTTGCTGTTCCCAAAAGATGAACTGATTCCTTCTTGCTCTGAACATCCCCAACATTCCCAACCTGCGTGCAAACACATGCACACACGCACACTCTCAAAAGGTTGACTGCACACAGTAATGCCACATCTTGCTAATTGTATTACCCTTGCTGGTTATTATTATTAAGGTCTTGCTTTCAGGACATAGAGAAAACCAACCACATAATGATCAAAGAGACAAATGGAGCATGTCACTGCAGCAACTGTGCAATGATAATGAGTTACATAAATCAAAAGTTCGGTCATTTACCTATCAGATTGAGCAGTGAATAGGGATTTTCAGTTACTATGATTGTTTGGTGATAGATTTTTTTAATAACTCTTGTACATAGATGTTCTGGAGCTAGAGAGTTGTTCCCCCAAGAGATGCAGCAGGATGCTGTACAAAGAACATGGTGTGGCATGTCGGGAGACCCTTGAGCTAATTTTAGCTCGGCCACCTAAGGGAAGGAAGCCAGTTCCCTTTTCTGGACTTTAGATTTTTCTATAAAATAGAGAGGTCTTTACACGCTTTAAGGTTCCCTTTCTTTCTGACAGTCTATTTTATCCAGACTCCTTAGACAAAATGAAATGGGTAGGGCTCCTCCTGCATTCTGCTTTGCAGAGAGAACTGAGTTTCATTCTTTATGAGAGTTAACAGCCCCTGGTCCACCCTTGAGATTTTTCCTGCCCTTGACCAAACAGGAAAAAAAAACCACCAGCTTTTCTCACCCTGTGCATACTGCTTTACCCCCTAGACCCTAAATCAAGGGATGGTGTAACCCTCTTCCTCCTTTTACGCTCAGTTAAATGGTTTGTCTGAGCATGTAACCAGCTGGTTCCTCTAAGACCATTTCCCCCCAGTAACAGCCCAGTGTGCATTGCTTAACCTTTTGTCTTGTTGGTTAATTTATGGGTTAATACTTCAGAACTTGTAGAAATAAGTTATTATCTTTTGGACTCATGGGATTAATAGTTCATTTTATTCCAATTTCCGGATTGAATAAACCTCAGGAAGTGGGCTGTCCCTTGAGTCATACCAAGGCTCAGGAAGAAGAAGCCCCATTGAGATTGTCAGATTTAAAGGGGACCCCGGGTACAGGGTGCCTTTGAAGGTCAGTGATTAGGAGTTTGTGTGTATGCATATGTGTATGTGTATTTATCCCTGTGTGTATGTGTGTGTGTGTGTGTGT